AATATTTATATAAAATACCGTCTGCTAACTATCATTATTTTCCTGAATATTTCACATAATGTTCAAGATATCAGGTGAGCTGTTTGTAAAATTAGATACTACTGATATCAAATGTGGTTAGTACAGATATTTTAGGTTTTTATCTCTGAACAGCAGTGAATAATTGCCTTTGATTGCTTTATCCAATTCTATAATCAATATTTTTCCAGTTTTCATTGTCTCTTGATATGCATAGCTTTTCACTTAAGAGAAAATAGCATAGATTTAATCTGCCTTTTTATCGGTAAGATATATATATGTGCATGTATATTTGTATGCACATGTATAAAGATGCAACAAATTCAGTTCTCTGCTTAGTTTAGTTTGAGGAAAAAATGATGAACGTAACTGTTAAGATAGTGTTGCTTAAATACAGTATGTTTTTAGCAGAAAGCTGCAAATAATTTGACTTTCTATTGTGGTGGAAAAGACTTTTAATTAACTTGTTTCAGTAACTCGGGCACCCCAGAAGGTTTGTCTGTGATGAGGATATGCAATTGCTGGAGACAGATTTTTAGGTTTGTATAGTAGAGGAGTTTAACATGAGATTCAGTTTATCCTGTTAGTATTTCTATCATTAGATTTTGTTTGAAGCAATATCAAGAGCCACCCAGCAAATGATGCAGACAAATCTTCACAAATATTCTAAATAAAACATAGTTAAAATGCATGGCTTTGGTTTAGCTCATGCTGTAGAAACATTAAAATACCGAGACTGCCTGTCTATATAAATGTAAGTTGACTCCATGGAAGTTGCTCTGGATTTATACACACAGTAATTTTTTTGTAAATGCTTATGGAATATGCTGCTTCTCCATTCTGTTTCACTTTCTCCAGCTTCTGTCCTGTACAATTATTCTTTTGGGTATAATTGTGTGCAATTGAATATGTGAGCAGGTATAAAACCTTTAAAAATAACTCATATTTCTAGCAATATCTGTACCTGCTAGAACAGAAAATTAGCAAGAGCAATTAAGGATTTAAAAGGGAGATTTAAAAGGACAGACCTTTTCTCACAATCTGGTGAAGGGGCACTGGATGCATGTACAGCCATTGCTGCAACCAGAAGTGCCAGATATGCAGTGCACATGAATGTTACCTCCAGGCCCACCTCCTTCTAAGGATCATAGGAAACAACTTCCATGTGTCCCCCTCCCTGCTTTGTAGCCTTCAGTTCTTATGCTCATAAACTGTACAGTCTCTTTCAGCCTCACTTTTACTAAATCTTATTTTATAGAGAGAACTAATAATGAGCAATTCAGCTAAGCACATTGGTAGAGCATATACCAGAAATCAGCTCAGGAGTTGGCATCCAAAAGGAGCTCATTCTGAATGCTTTGCAGGATGATGGAAAACCCTCTGTCAATCTTTTTCAATGCTCTATAACTGAAATTGGCTTTTCAATGTCTCATTCAGGCAATCAGATATGTTTTATCAGTAACCATTGAATAGATAAATAGACCACAGAGGACCAGACTGTAGAGACAGGTAGAGAAATGGTCAAGATAGTTGACTCACAATAAGACTTCTCATTCTTTCCTCTGAGCAGCTCAGTGCCAGCCTTACCTTCCACAGCACATTCCTGGCACTATGACCTGGATGCTTGGTTTGATACAAAGTGCTGTCTCCTTACTCAATTCTTCTATTAAGTATTTTACCAAATTATGATAAAGATAGCAATGTAAATATGACAGCTCTCTGTAGAGGCTTCAGGACAGCATAATCACAGAAAGGATTATTATTATTGTGCTCTGTAGAAAGTGTAAAATGTCTTTTTTGAGGATTTTGTCATCAAAATTTAAACCTTACAAAGGACACGAGCAATAGGCGGAGAAATAGGTTGGAAGAAACTGTTCTCTATTTCTTTAACTGGAGGATCCCCTCACTAGGGGCTTGTTTCTTTTGCTTGTTCGGGGATTTTTCCTGTTCTCTCTTTCAGAACCATTGCATTGTGTACAGAAACAACCATGATAAGTAGAAGTGAATTTTCTGCCAGTTCTCACCACAAGAAAAAATGGTACTTTTATTCGTGCATTATGCTTTTGACTTCTAGTTTTGACTGAATAGTGTGTTACAAAGTACAGTGTAAATACAGAGCGAAGAGTTAGCAGCACTTTTTGTCAAATGGATTTTTAGCTTGGAAATTTTAAGGTGTAATTCTTCTGACAATAGACACTTCTTAGTGTCAGTTCCTCTGATCTATGCAATCACTATTTTCTGGAATTGTGTTTACACTATGATCAACATCTTTGATTGTAGTCTGTGACTTCACCACAGAAAGAAATTTAGTCTGTTTTGGTGTTCAGGAGGATTGTTAATGCTACATGCATGGTGACTGGAGAAGTGAAGATACTGCAACAAATCTATGGGCATTGAAGAAAATTTTAATCAACACCTAATCTCAGTAAGGGGCATCCTTTAGCTCTGCAGCAGTATCACAGTATAGAATTTACTGAGAGGATTCAGGGATGGATTGATTGTCATTTCTATGAAGTATTACATTACTTCAGCATTATATACATATGATACACAATATGCATTCCAGTAATTCCTTAGCATTTAAAAATAGCATAAGTCCTGTGGATTTTAATATGTTACTGAATAGCTCTGAGATTTCTGAATGGCTAAAAACTAAGCACAGAGTAAAGGGTTTTGAAAAATCAGGGTGTCATTTTCTGCAATACTATGATAGGTTTCAAAGGGGCAAGTTATAGGGTAAGAATTTATTTATTATTGATTTATTTATAAATAAGTTTACTTAGAGTGGAGAAGTGGCAGAAATATTCCTAATAAATAAAAAAAAAATTGAGAAGATACTAGTTATAATAGTCTATTCCCTCGACAATCCAAGATTGCTCCTTATAATGTTGAATGCTGTATTTTTAGCAGTGTATTTGGTTTCATTTTAAATGCTTCTACTGCTCCCCTAATCTGAATCATAAATCTGTATGCATATGCGTTTCCTTGGTATTGCTCGATAAAACAGATACAGCAGGATCTGAAAAAGACATTATAAAACTGCTCTTTCTTAATTCCTGCGAATGATTGTTTATTTCACTGTTGTGCTTAAGCATAATGATTTCTGCCAAAATAAGCTAGAACGTAAGTTGAATTTGATTAATGAATACCATTATTTGCTGATAGCCTGTAGAGTTTATCTTTATCTAAATATTTTTTTCTAGAACGAGCACTTTTAAAATTAGATTAACTACTTTGATACAATGTCTATTTCAACTGCTAGACAAATCACCCTTTTATTCAATATATGTTACTATTCTGAGCTTTATCAAGTTCGTTCTCAGAAATGTAGCATAGACCTGTTTCACTGGCCAAAGTAATGAACTTTTTTTTTTTTAAAAAAAAAAAAAGAAATGAAAGCATAAGTGAAATGTGTTGATAGTAATATGAAATCTAAAATGAATATGCACATTTTCAGAAGATGAATCTTGAATTGTGCTTTTTTAATGAGTACCACTGGTTATTGGGTCAAAATCCTTATGTCCTAATTGTTGGTATCTTGAGAATGGAATTACGTTTCCTATTTTTTATGAGTTTATAGTTCAGCAGCCTAAGCTTAGAAAGAAAACAAGTAGGAATTCATTTTGTCAAGTGAATCTAACAATCATTTTAATTAGTCTATTGCACTTTACAGTTAACCTTGGTTGTATTTTGTATTTTAGACTTTCTTGCTTTTTATAATGAGGAATGTTCCCTACTAATAATGTTAGTAAAACAGAAGAATAACTTTGATACATTTTTCCACATTAGTAGTTCAGTTTATTTTTCTAAGATCTTATGATCAAAAAATCTTAATATGTCAATTTTGCTAAATTTTGCCATCTACCTGTATGTGAAACTGATTACATTTCTTGATTTAGGGATTAAGAAGAAATTATCTGAGGTGGAAGGCAAAGTCAATCTTAACAAAATGTTAATCCATGGATTTCATTATATCTGAATCTGCTTACTATATCCGACTATTAATATTTAATATTTGATGTAGAACAGGTTATGAAATTTAAACAAAAGCTATCTCGGTTTATATAAATCCGTAGATCTTAGAGCTGCTGTAGGTAGAAAATAAATTTCACAGAGAGAAATTAATTTCTAAGTAGGATTTTTTTTTCACACTTATCTCCTACCTGAGCCCTTAATCTAGGACATTTCAGTGTTTACGGAGCTCTGTCTTTGCAGATTTACCCCCTGGAGGGCATATCAAAATAATTAGTCCTGCTTCTTTGGAAACTGATGCAAATTTTATTGTTTGTTTCAACTGGAGCTGGATTAAGATATTGGAAGATAAATGTATTTTTTGTTTGTTCCTTTTTTTCTGAAGATAGTTGACCTGTATTTATGATTGAAATGTAAAAATCCTGATCTAATAGCTAGAATCGACCTCATACTGGGGAATCTATGGGAAATTCTTGGCCAATACCAGGTGCCTTAGGAGAGCTGTACGGAGTTATTCAGAGCATGAGGAGTTTTCAGGCTTCTTCAGTGATCACGTATGCACTGTCGTGTCACACACACTGGCCAAAGAGGTGTTGGAATCACAGTTTAAAAAGTCTTTGCAGTTGAAAGGCTGCAAGGTTCTCATGGGTCATGTGAATATGGGACCTTAGGGGAAACAAAATCTCCTTCCTACACTAAAAAGTATATCAATTTTTTACTCAAGTATCCAGTTCACCAGAACACACACAAAAATAGAGGAAAACAATGACATCTTACTGCCATATAGCCGTGGCTTTCTCAACAAGCACTCCATTACGTGGAATTCAGTCAAAGTTTACGGTTTGTTACTTCTATAGTTTGCCTCTTTTCCTTCAGTACTGCTTAACATGTCCCCTTCTTTTCATTCTCAGGAGAATGCAATTCACTTATGATGTTCTATTTCTTTCTCTTTCTTTCCTCTTTAT